CAATGTTCTATCTAAAATTTCTTATTAAAGTTTTTGAAAGTCATTTCATTCTTTTCCTTTTAACACTAGCGCTCCCAACCGCCATTCTCATCTCCACTCCACTGATCTTCCTTCCTTTGCACCCCGATCCCACGATTTCGATGTATTTGGGGTTCATGTTCACAGTGATCAAACTCCGACTACCCCATTAAATACTAAACCAGAGGATGATGTTGCAGGTAGTGTAATTATTTTGAAAAAATTAGAAGTAAAAATGAAAGAATGACTTACTTTGTTTTTTTTCACTTAAAATTTTTGTGTTGCAACCAATCTTTTGGTTCTTCTTTGTAATAAAAGAATTGTAGGTGCACCTGCTTCAGTAACGGCAACAGAAACGCCGCAGCGCCCAACTGCACTGATTTCGCCGACGAAGTTAGAATTAGTGAATCCTGCTTCAAATTAGTTTTTTTTTCAAATTTGTCAGCGTTGAATAAGAGCTATAAGTAGTGTTGTTTTCCTAGACAAAACGCATTACCCTTGATATCAACTCTTCGTCCCAACGTCTTTTTCAGTTAACCGGTTATAGTGTGCTTCTCTCCTGCCTTTTTGTAAACTGCTGTTTGCTTGAAAGAAGCGCGTTATTACTTAATTATAGTTATAAATATTATGAACATTCTTATTCTTATCCAATCTCACTTTGTCTTTTATCTTTTGTAGAGGGAAGGAAGAAAAAGCTTGATTTTTATGTCATAACGTCAGATGGGCTCGATTCTTTTGAAGCTCATAATTCTGAACTAGGCTTCCAGAGTATAAAAAATTTTATGCAGATAATTTTTACAAAATAGCGTCTTTGAAGTAAAAGAGTGTTTTAATAATTGTCATTTACAGTCGTAAAATTGATACTTGTTTTCGCAGAATTAAAATACGATGCATTTGGTAGTTTAGCAAAACTTCATTCAAGATGATACTTTTTTCACAAATAAGTGACCAATCACTTGTCAGTTTTATTAAGCCTTTTGAACAGAGCAAGCTGTTGTATTATTGAGCAGCTCTCTAGGCTTAGGTAAGACGCTTCTAAACGTGAGTTTTTTTATTAATGCGTTCACCTCCACTTTATAGTAGCGCTTGAATCTGTACAATTAATACTGTTTCTTGTTTTTTAGGCATTTACTCCTTTTTTTCACTGGTTTATTTTCCTGTTAATGAAATGTTTTACGAGAGGATTTTGATTCAAAAAACTTTCTAGCGTGTATGATACCCGCAGTGTAACATCTGTTCAATATGAAGCAGGTTCTCCATTGTCTCAAGCAGGAACGGATTATGGTGTTTCTTCTGATTACTATGAACCAAAAATTGCAGACCAGAGTTTTCCCAAAAGCAAGGGATCAATATTGGTATTATATGTTTTCTTAGCGTAACAATATTATTTGACTTTAAAAAATTTTGAAACTAGCAATCTCTGCACCAGCAGTAGTATGTCCTTTAACGAAATGTTATTTTTTTGCTTAGGGAACTTTGTTGATATAGTCTATTACGGAATTCGTTTTTTAGAAGTTAGTCTAAACTTTGCCAAGAAGTTCATGGAACATTATCTTCATGATATAAAATTATTTTAGATTTTTTTGTTTAGAACATGTTGGCTAGACACTTCAAAGCGATTGAAAAACTCACGTTGTATCTTGCATTCTTCATCAACGTTATTTTGCTGTTCCATCGAATTGATATTCATAATACAAGGGACAAAGATGACGAGGATACAGGTGTTTTTTGTTCGAAATTAGCCTTTTTTAGTCCTGTTATATTCACCGTAATTATGCTACTTTGATTTTCCTCTCAGGAAACGATGAAGATTCCGAAGTAGTGGAAACTGTTTACATAACCGGGATGGTTCTGCCATACATATCGTATGAAGTAACGGGTTGGATGCTTGCTCAGGTTTCTATTTACATGGAAATATTTCATACTGTTTTTTCAGAGGTTTATAGTTACTGTACGAATGAAACTGACAAAAACTTTTAAAAATAAAGTGAGAATCGTAACCGTGACAGTTGTAGTTCTCATGACGCTCATTTTCATGGTGCTTCGCCTTACTTACAATCTTCTAAGTTTAAAAAGTACTAGTAAATGTTGGCAGTTTCAAATATTTCGGTAAACAAGTTTCCTGCCACATGTTTTTTAGGCAAGGAGTGGTGTATGCATTGTCAAACCGGAATTTATTTTATATTATCATTTGAATGAATTTTCAGGTGCTGTATTGGATAAGTGTAATTCACGCTCTTGCTTCTTTTGCATTGCTTGTATCGTTCTATCAGCTGAAGGTGAGCGATTTTTTGTAATATCTTCACTTCTGAAAGATTCTGCTAAGTAGGACCGACCAGGCAGTCATTTACGGAAAGTAACATAGGCTCTTTATCTTTAACTTTCTTATCGTTTATGATGGACTGCTTCTTGCTTTCTCAATTGGCATTTGATATTTTGTGTTTGTTTTTATATCCGGGTTTTTGTTGCGATTTTTCGGGCAGTGAGTCATAGATGTCTATGTTTTTTCAGTTTTAAAAACAAAAAAGTTTGATACCTTCAATCTGTGAGGTTTTATTACCTCTGTTTCCTGAAATATTATTATATTTTTTGCAGATTCCGTTAATAACTTTCAAGAGAGAGAAGGAAGTTGCTCGCCGTTTGATGTTTGATGGTCGCTGGGTGACTGAAGAAGAAGATGAAGAAAGAGGACTTGTTGATAGTATTATGTGGTAGGGATTAAAACTTTTCCGAAGGAAAAGTCTGCACTGTATTCATTTTCAAGGGGGGAAATAATGATAAAATTGAAACACAAAGACGACAATAGGAAGTGATAAGTGTAAAAGCGAAAAACAAGTGTTGTAATTTTAGAGGTGGATGGCACTGAAGGCTTGAAGCAATTTGAGATTTAATTCGGCAGTTTGAGAAGCACTTCGCCTTTACGTAGTTTTTTATTTTTAATTTTTCTATAACCATTTATTTCAGGTATCTAGACCGTATTGTTATCAGCTCGAAATCTTTTCCAGTGAAGTACTGGGATAAATTTGTCAGACGCAAAACAAAACAGAAGTTTCGTGACCAAGTTGATGAGGCTATACTGGACGCTTTATTGGGGGAGGAAAAAGCTGCTGGTGATACATCATTTGATTACAGGTTTGGATTTATCAAGATTTCGGCTGTTAAGTTTTACTTTATGTACCATAATTTTGAAACATCAAGGATTTATTTGTGAACTTGAGGTGATAATAAAAACTTTATTTATATACACAGATACTCTTTTATGTAAATAACTTTCATTTTGGTCTTTTGAGAAAAGTTGTTTAGGTACACTTGCTGGCTTTGGTCGGGAGTCATTCTTACTAACGGGCAGTTTCTATACAGAGTTCTTTATCTGTTTGCCTCTGCTTGCGGCGTGTTTGTATCTCCATTTTTTTACGCCTTTCACTTAATTGATGTGGTTCTCTCGTTTCCAATGCTCAAAGCTATTCTGCAGTCAGTTACTCATAATTTGCAACAGGTTCTTTTTCCCACAGTTTTTAGTTTACTTCTTATTGCATCTCCTTTACAAAAAAATTGGTTCTCAATAGTTATCTGACTGTTTTTTTTTCTCGAAAAAATATGGATTACCTAAGGTTTCCCGGTAGTTTTGAACGCAATTGTAAAACTCTGACTTGGAGCGAAATGTACGGCTTTGGGTTGGGTTGATGAAGACGGGGAGCAGAGTTTGTTCTCTGATCAAAAAATTACTCATACGTAATCCGGACTCGAGGCATTAAAGCTTTTGAAGAGGAAGTTGTAGAAAAAGGTTCAAAATTTTATGGTTTCCTCAAAAAGAATTTTGATTTTTCCTGATTGTCTCGAAAGTTTTGCTTTATATTTCCCCCTGGCGAAGGAGTTGACAATTACTTAGAGTAAGTCATCAGTACCTCATCTGTAGTTACTTAGAATAACTAGGATTAGAGAATTTAACCTTTTTATTAGGTTGATTTATACTACCGATTTACAGATGTCAATGCTAACAGCAAAATTTAAAGTTTTCCACAGCTAAAGCTGTGATAATCAGGTTCTTGTGCGCTCTATTTTATTCATTTTATTCGGAGTACAACCAGTTCACTTTTAGTATTTCAAAGTAATTCTACGAAAATTAAAAAGGAAGATGATAGTGCTTGGGAAGTTGCGCATTTTTATGTGAAGATTATTGATAAAACATGGCAGGAACGTAATTCTGTAAGCAAAAATTAAAGAAATGGGTAAAGTTCTTCGGAGAAGGCTGACTATTTTTAACGCCTCTAGCATATTTTTCTCTTTTTTCTACGTTACTTTATGGCAGTGAATGCTGTAATGGTGATGAAGCACGTGTCGCAGTGAGTTTCTTATAACTTGCTTTCATATTTTAGAACTTAATTTTAGGAACTCGATTTTTTTTAAACGAATTTTTTCGTTCTGATTGCGTTTCTTCTGCGTCTCTAGACTGTATTCGCTGTCTCCCGAATCATCATTTTAAGGACTTTTGTCATTTACGATGCATTAATCTCTTAAAATAATTTAAAAAATGTACCGGAAACTAGACGCAAGTTGAAAAATTGACTTGTCGTTTGTAAATTTTGGTTCGTCTACAAAAAATAGTATGACACAAAATAGCAGTCTAGATGGAAAATATAACTGATTAAAATAAAGACTGATTTTTCTGCATTCTCTTCCGCGTAATTTTCTTTGCTTATTTAATAATTTCAAATTTGAGTCGTCTATGAAGTTTTTTGCAAGAAGAAAACAGATTTCACTTCCGCCCTCAAAGGTCGCTTCGGCAGCCATGCATTTTGTTCACGGGTTGACTGCGCTTGTTCTTTTAGCTCATACTCACGATTATGATGACTTTGGTTGTCGTTTACTTATATACGGTAGTGGCTTTCAATTTCTTCCGCAAATTTTACGTTCAAGAGGGAGAGGAAGGAGAAGAACCTGATAGGAAATGCCACAACATGCTTACCGTATGCCTTTTGACCGGTCTTATTCTCGGTGTTACAAGTTAACGCGCTCATTATTTGAATGATTGTCTAGTTGATGGTCGGGACATCTCTAGTTGTTTTCTCGTGTAGCAAATTCATAAAAGGTATTTTAGTGTTTCATCTTCCATTTTTATGCTGGTGTACGAGCTGGAGGTGGTATTGGCGACGAACTAGAGTCCCCCTACGGTGATGAACATGAGTATGCGAGAATGGCTTATGACTTATCCTTTTTCTTTTTTGTCATCATCATTTTGTTAGCTATCATGCAAGGTATGTCGTCAGTCTACAGGCCTTTGAATTTCATTCATTTTACATTTTGTCATTAAAGCATATATTTGATTTGCCTGCCATCTACGGTGAATTTAAGGTCCTGTTACGACTTCAGTTTATATTTCCGAAATAACATTAAGCTGGAACCATTAAACAGAACTTTTCAGGTCTGATTATTGATGCATTTGGCGAACTTCGAGACCAGCAAGAATCAGCAACAGAAAAATTGGAGTCGTCTTGTTTCATATGTGATATTGGCAAAGAGACGTTTGATCGGCTTCCTCGCGGTTTTGAAATCCACACTACGAAGGAGCACAACTTTGCCAACTATCTGTAACCTCTTGGCAAACTTCCTTTTGTTATTTTTAAGCTTCTAAATGCCTTTTATCGTGGTATGGGTGGTTTTTCAATCACCAGTCCTTTTTGAAACACGTAAAATACATGTTGGCCACCAGCCGTTTGCAGGTTCTTCCTACAACATCTCGTCAATAAAGATGAGACCGAATATACGGGACAAGAGACGTACGTGAGGGAAAAGTACGATAACAGAGATTGGGAATTCTTCCCCGTGGGCGAATGTTTCGTCAAGCAGTACGAGGATCAACTTTTACAATCTTGACAGCACTTCTCGGGAAGATGGCAATGTATGCCTGACTTGGTATCGCATACTGTGCTCTGTCTAATACTTTATTTCGTTTGCTCTTCTCTAAGTACTACTAAAGTTTCTTTTGATTGAGAGTATTCAGCAAAGATGAGACTTTGTTTAGACCGCTGAATTTGATTTTAAGATGCAGACTTTTAATAAGATGCAGATTTATTGGAATTGTAAAGCTGAGGATGTAAAATAATTGCTTTCGGGAAGTGCGTACGTCACGTCCTGAACTTTCTAGCAATTTCAGTATGAAGAAGTGTTCTGTGTCTATCATGATATAATTTCTTATATGGCAGTTACCATGGGAGGACTTAAGTTTTATTTGCAAACGTTGTAAGCCCTCTTGACCTGGAAAATTTAGTTCCTGTTTCTTGCCGTATCGTGCTAATCTTGCTGTAGAAAAGCTTTAGGGACTCTGTTATCGGTGCTAAAGTCAAAATACTGCAGCAAAAAAGTGAGACCCCTTCATCTCCTGGCAGAAACCTTTTATAAGAAAAACTGATGACTGGAATTGAGTGTGAATGCGTGATGTTAAACATAAATAAATGTCCGTAGCGTCGAGGCCAGTGTAAAAACGCTGGTACACTGTAAGACAAAAGTTAAGTTTCTGAAAGATGAGTACTTTTAAAATGGCTGCAGTCACCAAAGAGTGCTTAACCTTTCAACACTAATTTTTACCCGTTCAACTTACAGCTGCCGGATGGCCGCTGCCAATCTCAAGGGTTTTTTCATTTTAGGATAAATTCGATTAAAATTGATTCTCATTGGGAGATCCCGTGTTAAACTTGATTCTCTACGCGCGTCCAGGGGTTCTTATATCTTTCGCTGCTGCTCACTCCCAGTCGGCATCGCTACAGTATTTAAAAGAAGACTTAATGAATAACTCTCAATGCTAAAGGATTTATTCTAGGACAAATTGTACTACAGATATAAATCCCTCCACGATATCACAATAAAAATACTTAAAGTATGAAAACGATCGACTCTTCGGTTTACAAATTCATCATAAGATTTGGCTATGAAGTTGCTGTTTTTTTTGCAAATCCGTTAAGATTACAGCGGTAGAAAAGGCGACCAAGTTTATAATAAGCGCTGTTTAAACAGAGATGTTATAAGAGACCAAACCCGAACAAGCCATTTAATAGATAGATTTAAGCAGAGAAATTATAAAAGAACGGCCTTCTGCTTTTTGTAAAAGGATTGCGGAGTAAAAGTTGTTCTCAGCAAGTTTTCATCGTCTTCCCACGCTTGCTTGATGACCCGCTAATAAGTCATTCCGATCGATAATTAGACTACACTTGATGCTCAGACCAGGCGCGCAGCTTTAGGGACTGCCATGACCTAGATATTGGGCGTTCATTGCACACGTCCACATTTGAATGATCTGCCTCCACCTAAACATTGAGATGAAGAGTAGGGAGATCAATTAAGAGAGCGCCTGGCATAACTATAAAAAATAAGATATACAGCACATCAATTTGCTCAACAATGAACATGAACACAAATAGAAAAAATTCATCACGGCTTGTGAGTCTTCTCTTTCGGCGGTCGTAATTTTGATTTAGGCTACATACCCCACATGAAGAGCGAAGTTGGGAAGAGGCCAGCGGGCATGCCTCGACTGCTGCCCTTTGACAGGTAACTGGCAAGCGTGCAGGCTATTAATAGACATTTACATAAAGAACAGGGAGGTCAACGAAGAGAGCACTTCATATAACTATAAAGAATAAAATTAATAGCATTTGGGAATTTGAACATGTCAGTTTGTCCAACAAAGTTCTGAACATAAACACAAACAAAAAATTGACCACGGTTTATAAACCCTGTCCTCGCCGTGATTCTCGAGTGTATCTCCGACAAATTGTGCAACTGGTCATCATTCTCCAAGAATATCCCTGCCGACGTTACGAGCCACAGCAATAACATCAATTAGCAGAAATTTTGAAAGTTTTTCAAAACGAGACCATTCCGAAATCGATTTGTGAGTTTACGAACAGACTACATCAGAAAAGGCGCTCAAACGGATTTACAGAAACACAGAAAAGTAAAAACTCTAATTTCGTAGACTAACACCAGGTGATCAAAACTTATCTGCAGAATAAAAAGTTGTTAACAATGCAGAGTAAAATGGCTTTTCCAACAAATTTTAACAAATAAAAAATAGCAGGCTTTCCTAGCTGTTATTCCTTGGCTTTTAAAGCCAGCACAAGATGCACTGTGAAAAGAACGGGTTTTTGCAATCTCATATTACTGTTCCGCCGGCAACTCTCGGCTAAAAGAACGATATCACTATTTTTTGATACGTTATACAGCAGTAAATTCTACATAAAACACGTCTTGGAGAAATTTAAAGATGCGCTTTTTCTAAATTTATTTAAAACTTCAGTTTTATTGCATAACATATATATATGGGCTATTCCACGCCAAATCGCACACTTTACACCAGACCTCTAAAATTTTTTTCATTTTTTGCTGATTATTGGAGTCTAAGCCAGCATAAAGAAAGCCGCAAAGAAAACCTGGAAAGGTGAATTCCCAGCTAAGTTACAACTTCCATGCAAAATTTGCAGATTGCCGCTTGATATGCCTATCTTTGAGGGCTTGTAATTTGGCCTGTTCTCAACGAAATTTAACAATTTTTGATCCGGTGTGTTTTATAATGGCAAAAAAAATTTCCTAAACTTTTAAAAAAATGTTGAATAATTTAATTCCAATAAAAACACACAAAGATACAATGAAGACAAAATTTCGAACAGACACAGGAAAAAAAACGTGCCTTCAAATTTTTTCAAAAAGATACATTTTGTGTAGAATTTTTTTCTCTACAACA